GTCACACGGCAATGCACACGGTTTCTTCCCATGATTCCGTGCACACTTCTATTTGAAGGGTTTGGGGGTAATATGACAGAAACATAGAGTAAAGTATTAGGCAAGTATGAGCATGTGAATAGGAAGACTCTTGATTCAATACTAGCTGTACATGGGGAGATGAATGGGGAGTCACTTGGTTCAATATTAGGCATGTATAAGAAGGTGAATGAGGAGTCACTTGTTTAAATACTAGGCATGTATGAGAAGGTGAACGTGGAGTCACTTGTTTCAATATTATGCATGTATGAGAAGGTGAATGGGGAGTCACTTGTTTCAATATTAGACATGTATGAGAAGGTGAATGAGGAGTCACTTGTTTCAATACTAGGCATGTATGAGAAGGTGAACGTGGAGTCACTTGTTTCAATATTAGGCATGTATGAGAAGGTGAATGGGGGGTCACTTGTTTCAATGTTAGGCATGTATGAGAAGGTGAATGAGGAGTCACTTGTTTCAATATTAGGCATGTATGAGAAGGTGAATGAGGAGGTACTTGGTTCAATGTTAGGCATGTATGGGTAGGTGAATAGGAAGACTCTTGATTCAATACTAGCTGTACTGAGAAGATGAATATGTAGTCACTTGGTTCAATATTAGGCATGTATGAGAAGGTGAATGGGGAGGTACTTGGTCCAATATTAGGCATGTATGGGAAGGTGAATGGGGAGGTACTTGGTCCAATATTAGGCATGTATGAGAACGTGAATGGGGAGTTACTTGGTCCAATATTAGGCATGTATGAGAATGTGAATTGGGGTTACTTGGTTCAATATTAGGCATGTATGAGAATGTGAATTGGGAATTACTTGGAGCAATATTAGGTATGTATGAGAAGAGGAATGGGGAGTCACATAGTTCAATATTAGGTATACTTGAGGGGTGAATTACTTGGTTCAATTTTAGGCATGTATGGGAAGGTGAATTGGGAGTTACTGGTTTCAATAATAGGCATGTATGAGAAGGTGAATGGGAAGACACTTGGTACAATACTAGGTATACATGAGGAGAAGAACAGGGAGTTACTTGGTTCAAAATTAGGCATGTATGATAATATAAATGGGGAGTCATTAATCCAGTATTCGATCTGTGTGAGATGATGAATGTTGAGTCACTTGGTGCAAGATTAGTTATGAATAATTATGTGAATGAGGAGTCAATTGATTTATTATTCGGTATGTATGAGAACGTGAATGGAAGACACTTGGTGTAATATCAGGTATGCACGAGTATGTGAATTGGCAGACACTTGATTCAGCCTTTGGTCTGTATGAGAAGATGAATGGGAGTCAATTGGTTCAATATTAGGTGTGCACGAGAAGCTGGATTTGGAGTCACTTTAACATTAACATTAGATATGTATGACATGTGAATGACCAATTGATCTGGTTGTTGATTTATTTTAAATAAATCCACACAAGTCACTTTATGCTAATTGTAAACCGGACACACTTATTTTCATGAGTAGAGTTTAATTTATACAGTTGTATTCATATGCTAAGTGTAATTACTACAACTGTGGCAAATGTTGTAAACCACTATAATTGTAGATCGGACTTTGCACCTAAGCTAGGAGTGAGAAGCTTTAGTCGCAGCGCAACGTTTAGAGTTGATGTTGATGTGACGTTTTCCTTAATTACTGAAAAAACAAAGTCTGCAGAGGCGGCGGCACTAAATTTTACATGGAGGGGCGAGATCTGCTCACCATCCCTAAGCGGCTCCGGGGGCATGTAGCCCTTAAACACTTTGAAATCTAGACTCTCTGACACGCCATTTCCTGCATTTTGAGGGGCAAATTTGCTGACAGAAAGGGTTTCAGCATCATTTTAGTGGGGGTGATTTTGGACCCCCCCCCCAACATTTTTGTGAGAGGCAATCGCCCCTTCTGAAACTACAGGTCAAAATAGTTTTGATGTTGTGGACGTCCTTCTTTTCAGCCTCGTCCCTAAAAAGCATTTATTAAGCAATGGATGAGAACGAAACAACTTGTAACTAGCTGAACGACGAGAGTATTTTAATGAGTTTCATTGGCGAAACAAGTAAAAATGTGTAAGATGGAACACATCTGCGCAAGGTAGCAGTGAAGAGAATACAACCCCCTTGTATTTTCATTTTAGAACTTGGTAAATGACAATTCTACTGGCTCTGGTACTACCAATGTTGCAACACCATGACATTCATTGCACATCCAGTCGGAATATATAAACTTCGAATTTGTCAGTACCCTGGCATTTCTTATGGAAATTGTAGTAAGTTCGCGTCAGAATCAGAGATTGCACAAATTTATTCATGTTACTAAAATAAATTGAGATAAAACAGTAACCTTTTCAGGTTGGGTTAGCCCTGAGTGACATAACAGTCACATGGTGTGGCGCTGTTCCAAACCATGCAAGTGTTCTTCTGTATTCCCCTTGTCATCATTCAAGATGTTCATAGCATCTTTACAAAGAAGCCTGCTACCTGATTGGTGGAAACGGCTTGGCGAGTTAGTTTTTTTTTTAAATTGCACCTAATGATCAAAACTGAATGAATAAGATAGTGCCCGAATAGGAGACTCTTTCGAGGATATAAAATCCGAGCAAGGTTGAATAATAAGCTTCAGTGACGTCACAAAGACGTAAACGGACGAGCAATGTCATTCAAATAGAGAACTATTTGATCCGGTTGTGTAGTCTTTCGTCATTTACGTCATAGATGCAATTCGTCGCTAGAGGGCGCAACTCATAGGAACGATGAATTGCACGCTAGCTACGTACGGATCGAGCGAAAACCTTCCCATATTCTGTCTGGCAGACGCCGTTGTTTGTTATTATCTAAAGGTCCACTTGTGTCGAGACTGATTGTTTCACTGTGTTCCAAACCCCGCCAAACACTTTGCTTCATCGCCAAAATCCAGGACATCGCTTTTACTATTTTGGAACTTAAAGCGGGAGGGTAGTCACCTGCGCACGCGCGGGAATTGATTCCCAAGCGACAATAACAACACACGCTGAAAACGCAAAGGCTCATGGGTAGACGCTTGTTTGTAAACAATGACACGCCATGGCCATCTGACGCATGCGCAGGTGACGACTCCCCCGCTTTAAACAGGCCTAAGGTCGCTATTGCATGATTTCAGCATAAATAGTGTCTCGTTAACTGTGAGATAGTAAATTGATATATACATACGTGGTTTCTGCTTTAATAACCCGTATTGGTGTCAAATGTTATCACTGAGAGAACAGTGAGATCCGTTATTAAAGTTAATCATTCATAGAGCAGTATTGGGTAACGGCACTAATATATGAACTATTTGTGGGAATTGTGGGGAATCACTGGCTTCACCTTGAAACCCAATTACTGTAGGCCGCGGTATGCACGAATTGTAGGAAATCATTGAATTCACCTTGAAACCAATTACTGTAAGGCGCAGTAATTCGTAACAGGAGCGAATACTATTCAAGAAGTATTCATCTCAGACAGCCGATCTGAAACTGGGAATGGACTTTACCTGACATGACCCATTTTTTGTGCGCTACGTTTTTGTATTTTTTATGCAGTTATAGTTGTTGACAATTGAAATTTACTTGCAAAACTGATTTCCAACCGGTTTACATGAATTAATGAATGAAGTAAAATCACATAACATAAGAATACATGGGTACGTTTGGCTAACGTAAACCCATTTTCCAACCTTGACTGATGACTGCCATTGGTGGTTGGGTGTCCAGAATTAACGCGTTCAGTTTACAGAATGTTTTGAACCTAAACAAATGTGACAGCACCGAAAAGAGTATGACGTCATCGGTCCAACAATTTTCAACCTCCGTGTGAAACAGTAACGTCACAATAACATCATTAATCACAAATTTTGAGAAAAGTTGTATAGGAACCAGCAAGTCAAACATGTTTTAGGAAGTATTATATGTTTAAAACAAATTTAAGTGTTAGACTCCATTAGAATAAGAAATCCGAGTGTCTTTTATGTCATAGTAAAACATCTAAAGAATCCAATGTTAGTGTATTCAGTATGTACATGTATTTGTTAAGAAACTCTGTGTCATAATACCACTAATTTGGATTCTGGATACATGATGACGTCATAATAATCCGAAAATTACGTTTTTTTCGCATATTTATATATGGCATTTTATGAAAATAAAACATCATCGGAAGCCCATGAACCAACCAATGACGAATTTAACATTAGCAATTTCGACAGCAAATACAGTTACTTTGCCGGGTGATAGAATGTGTTTGTATTTTTGTGATTGGCCCGACTCCCTCGAACTCGCTACAACCATGGCACCCTCACCCTCCTAGTTATATGCCGTTATTATGTGTGTTTTTTGTTACTTTAAACTGAACTAAATGAATACGCGTAAATTTGCGTCAAAATAGCCAATATTGGTAGCCAATAACAAACCATTCCACTCTTATCTTAGCGAACATGTGGTTTTTTTTTATGGTGCCAGTTAGTTAAACAATAATGAGGGTGTTCAGACGACATTTTACAAGTCAGAGTAGATTCTCCATGGATACGGTGTAGCTGGTAACCACCGCATGAGGGCGTGCTTGACGGTGACTGAAAACTTATTTCGTCAGGTATCACAATCTCATCGATGACGGAAATGGCCCACATGTTCGCGTTCTCGCCCAAAAAATCACTTTCACACACGATCTATTGATTACCATGATTGCATACCGTATGTCCCATGCAAAGAAAAGTAAAGCCCCGTGTAAAGCGTTGATGTAAATCACATGGACCGCAACGTGGGGATTAAAAAGACTGTTGTCTGTTTTTTATTTTTATTTTTTTATTAATCTATTTATTCAGTGGTAATTTAATTTTATCTGTAATTATATATAATATTTGTTTCTGTATATATGCACACCCCCGATTTAAAATGGCCAACTCCTAATTCGAGGGAATAATAAACCAGAGGAAACAAATTACGAACAAACATCCGTAAACTAATTTTTCAAAATGGCGGCTATGACAGCAGAACTGAGTGAAGGGGGGTTTGTTTTTGATAATTGCAGACGGTAAGTACACTTTTTTTCAATAAAATAATCAGAAATTGTTTTAATTATAATGCAGAGATTTTCCAATGAAATTATTTTGTCAATTGCGCATAGTCTAACTGAACTGGCGGTATTTTAAATAATGTGGTTATCCTACCGTGCTGCATGGATGAGTTGCACTTTTTTCTTTTGACAAACTGTGGGGACAACCACCACATGGCGAAATATGCCCAGTGATCCATGGGTGAACGTGGTTGGTCGTTGAATTGTCGGGGTAGTACAGATAGATAATGAATCTTTGATACTCTGCGATATTATCTATGGTCTGAACGATTATTTCATTTAGCAACAACTATTCATCAACTAAAAATGATCATAAATGGTCGTGCAAAACAAAACAAAATAAAGCAAAAAACAGGTGGCGAGGGGGGATTTTAGCTTACATAAAACTAAATAAAAAAGAGAAAAATGAATTTGCTCTTTTAAATTATCTATCTTGCATGATTTTTTTTTTTGAATTCTACATCTATGTATTTATCAAGCCCTGTGGACTGATTCAGTGATTGTAATTTATTTCATCTCAACAGAAATGCTTTTTTAGCACAGAAAGGTTTACCACTCCCAAAAGCTAGAAAAACTGGGACTACGATTGTTGGAATTGTCTTCAAGGTTAGTATTTACAATCTGCAATCAATACAGACATATCTAGATTGTCTCGTGACAATTTCTGCCCCACTATTTCTTGGTTTGTTGGCAATTTTCACTTATTAACAACAAAATTCATGAATTGTTCAAGATAAAATCATACAACATAATTCACAAACATTTCTTGTGACACAATCTTTTTCATTGTTTTTTAATATCGGTATCAAAGAATATCGTTGCTTCTAATGTCACAGAAACTTCGTCTAAGACCTCTAATATGTGTCATTACTATAGCAGACTGACCAATAAGTAAGGCCAACCCACAGCCCTTCAAGCCGATTCACCAGTCTAGTATTACCGGTATACATAGATTCGTAGAAGTCTCACCATAATAGACTGCATCTTGTCTACTGTGAAGGTGACTCATTTGCATAAATTGCTGTAAAAATACCAAAACTTATTACATCTCATAAAAATCTTGTTTGTGCAAGCATTTTACTTTCGATTTGATATTATTCAAATTTGCACCACCATAAAATACCTGATATAAATAGTGTCAAAATTCTCTGTGGCTATTCAAGTAAATAAATTAAATGCTGTGAAAAAGCATCTTCAGAAGGAACTACTTTAGTACTTAATTTCATTCTCATATAACTGATATAGCTGATATAGACAGTAAACTGCAGTACATTTGTAACAACAAGAATTCATGATGACATCATTTAAACTGATACACTAAGAATGATGACATCACAGTATTATTATTATTATTATTTATATAGCGCACTACACTGCATGTCAGAGCGCTGTGTACCAGTAATTATGTTACATGTACATAGTGCTTCATTACTGTAGCTCTAGCTTGGGATCATCTACCGGTAGATATAATTGGACTCGCATCTATGTCTCATGAATTATTATGTGTGCAATTCATGTTCATAATGATAAAAGAATGTTGAAAATAAGCTGCACTGTTGTGGCTCTAATGTAAGCAGTATATAAATAACGCACTGAAATTGCCATCTAATTGGTGGGTTCATATTTAGAGGTGTGATCAATACAGAGAATTGCTAGCATATCTAAATGCAACTTGTATCATTGGGGGTGGCACATAGATTGGCTTATAGGTGCTGTGAAACGAGACTACCTAAGAGAGAATCAATCTAGTGTGTGTAGTAATTATATGGAAGAACGAACGATACTGATTTCACCTGAAATAATAGCGCAACATAAACCAAAAAGATTGTCAACATAGCAAACATTATTTTAAATGAGAAAATGTTTGATTATGGACATGTGAATGTAATATTAATAACATTTCATTTTTTGTGTACATGCAGGATGGTGTAGTACTTGGTGCTGATACTAGAGCCACAGAAGATACCATAGTAGCTGATAAAAACTGTTCAAAAATTCATTATATTGCTCCAAATATATAGTAAGTAGTAAGCCTTAAGACATATTACTATTCTTATAAGTGCCGTTAATAATGTCATCGATGAGCACTTATAATGGGCCAATGTTTAACCCTTTTCCGGTCAAGTCGGTGAAAAACCGCCATCAATATGGGTATGCTAGAATTTACCACTCCAGCTAGCTAACTGGTTAAGTCGTTGAAAAACGGCCTGCTATTTAGGTTGCTCAGACGGTCAAGCGTTTATAATACGTAATACGTTGTACGGAACCTGATACATGTATTTTACACTTTTTACAATTATGTTTTCGATTCCGTCAAGTCAAATAAATTAACCAAGTAATAAAGAATGTAATTCTATACACTTGTCTGCTCATTTCACTATTTTACCGTCACAACGCGACGTTTGCGACGACGTAAAAAAAAAACGCCTTGACCACATTGCAAACTGCAGCATTACAACCGTAGTTGAACGACACGATTCACGATTATAACGGTAGTAACGTATTTTGACCAGCTTGGCAAATAGTCCCAGCACTTAGAATAAATAGCATGACGGATTCCAACGGCTGAGCTTGGAATGTTGCCAATCACCAACATAAAATGACCGGGACAGCTGGTGGGAAATATTCAAGTCCACGTAATTTCACCGTCTGAGCTAGCATATGCAATTCTATGTGTATGCAAATTGTAACCAATCCGTATTCGAAAAAATAACATATTTATTTACATAACAATAAATAATCAAATTGTGGATAGATGCAGTCTTGTGGACATGTGGTCGTTCAGTATAAATCTGGCCGAAGAAAGTGAGATAAAGCCCAGACTCGCAGTGTGTCTACTTTCCGACACGTACGTTAATATGCCGTCCTATACAGATAGGAAGTGTTTTATGAAGGAAAGAAGGAAACTGAAAAAAACACGTCAATCGTGCAGTGGCACGGGGAGTGATAAGTTCGACATTCACATGACAGATTTTTCACCAGCAAAGCCTGGGAAAAGAAAGAAATCCAAAGCAAAGAAAACATTTGACGTCGGTCAGTTACCAGCCGAACGTACCACTGATAATAGTGTACTCAAGAAAAGGCATAAAGAACAAACGCAAGTCGGAGACTGTTTCCTCTGTCAATGAACATGCGATTACAGAAGAAAGCTGTTTGAAGGACTGCAGGGGCAAACTAGGGGGCAAACCAGGAGGCAAACGTAAATCGAAGACAAACCGTAAAGTGGTTGAATCACCAGTTGCCGACGATGCAGATGCCGAAGAAATGGGAGTTGGTCACGCTGAAATACAACGTGCCGATTCGGAACCGTCGACATCCGCCACAACTACCAACACAGAAAAGCTAAAGATTCGCATTCCAGCTCAGCAGCCAATCAGCGACGGCCTAACGCTTAGATGACAATTTCGGTTTCAAATACCCCGGCTTAGTGTTCTAGGTTCTTCGCGTAATTAGGTGTTCGTATGCAAGGGATTTTTCCACACAAAAACGATGAATTAGGCCGAATTTTGTTATCGGTTGGCTTAATATAAGCCCGACGAGTCGTATTTTTGTGAAAGATTGGTATTTTTGTCCTGATTTGTAGGAATCTGAAAAACGCGTTTCACAACTTGTCTCTTATTTAGTTTTATGCTTCATTCAAGATGGCGGCCCCCATATAGTAAATATCGTACTTATTTTGTTATTGCGTGTGCGCCAGCTGACTGTGTCCGGACCCCACACAAAGAAGTTCGCTGATTCTGTTCCAAACTTTTTGGATTTTGGCAATCCAATGATGTATACTCCCACTGCATTGTCTTTGTGCATTCTTTGAGGTATCCTTGTAATAACCTCATATTACACTGAAAATGTGGCAGAAGTATTGCCTTATTAAATCAACTACTGAAAGCCTCCATGAATAGTTACAATGAATGGGAATAAATGGTGTCAGCAGGTGATGTTAAGGGTTAAATGGAGTTTTAAGAACCCAATTATTGAACAAAAACAACTGTCCTGCTTACAACCTGTCACTTAATTTTATTTGACTATCCGTTTCAGTTGTTGTGGAGCGGGTACTGCCGCAGATACCGAGATGACAACACAGATGATATCTTCTCAACTAGAACTGCATCGTTTATCTACTGGAAGAACTGCTAGGGTCTGTGTAGCTAATAGAATGCTCAAACAAATGTTGTTTAGGTAAGGTTGTGTTTGGTCACCTAATATGATCTCCATGTATGCATGGAACTGCTAGGGTCTGTGTAGCTAATAGAATGCTCAAACAAATGTTGTTTAGGTAAGGTTGTGTTTGGTCACCTAATATGATCTCCATGTATGCATGGAACTGCTAGGGTCTGTGTAGCTAATAGAATGCTCAAACAAATGTTGTTTAGGTAAGGTTGTGTTTGGTCACCTAATATGATCTCCATGTATGCATGGAACTATATTGTAGTTTATGGTGTATGCAATTTTTTTATGTGTTTGGGTTGTTGAGATAAATGTGGATTACAAATTGTCTTGCTGATGTACAAAATGTGGTGAATTTGTGGTGCGTCATGTATTTGTATGTGTGTGTGCATGCATGTGTCTGTTCTTTTGCATGTCATACTTAAGTAGAATGCTTAATTATTGGTGGTCGTTGCGCTGCGCATGTGCAACATTTCTGTTGATAAACTGATTTTCCCACAATCCAAAGCTCTCTTCTTATGGAAATCACAAGTATGAGGTTTCACCTGGGCGCGACTTGCACTAATTACTTTTGGTGACTCCTTTGATACCTTTAAATCACTTAAAAATGCCCCATTAAAGCTTGGTAACGTCTCAGTTTGTACTCGTTGATCTGCGCGACAGTCAAAGTCGCCATCTTTGTTTATATGAGACCATAAATCTTGCACATGCGTGGCGCGACGACTACCGTCCTGGCAAGGTATACAATGTTTGTTGTTGTTGTTGTCATCGTCGTGATCATTGACCATCATTGTGTGGGCAGAATAACTCTAGTGATTTTTATTTAATCTTTTCCGAATATTGAAATATTCTCTATCAATGAATAATCTTAGTGTAGTCTAAGTTTGGTACGGCTGGCTCGTATATTTTTGGAAATATTGGTGAAAATTTAGTTTGGAGTAGTTTGTAATTGCAGAATGTCTCTTTCTGATTTGAAACATGAAACCAATTTTGGTGTGACTATCGTGTATAATTTTCAGGATATACATGGAAATTTAGACTTAAAAAAAAGTGCTGAAGTGAGGACATTTGCACTGGTGATCACAAAAATCAGACATCAGTACTACATTCTCAAAGATCTGTTACTTTTAGATCACATAGTAACCAGATATGTTTTCTTTATATGATCGAAGAAATTTCGGCTGGAACAAGTTTTGAGTATGCGTTGCTTTAAATCAATTAAAGGAATGTGTTTGTCCGAATATGACCAAACAGAACCAGCGTTATATGGAGTACTATTGCATGGCTCACTCCTCTGGTTTCTCGTAGCATAACAAGGCAGGGCAGTACGAGGTATTCGATGAACGAAATGAAATTTCATTTTTTCTGTATGCGTTTTAATTATCCACAACTGCTAAGTTTTACAAGTATCATGTATCACACTAATGATAATGATTGGTAATTGTAGGTACCAGGGATACATCTCAGCTGCTTTAGTACTAGGTGGCGTTGATTCAACTGGTCCACATTTATACAGTGTCTATCCGCATGGTTCTACTGATATGTTGCCATACGTCACAATGGGTTCAGGATCATTAGCGGCCATGGCTGTCTTTGAAGACGGTTTCAAACCTAATATGGAGGTATGCGTTATCCACTACCATTCTCCAATCATCAACTGTATGTTGGGATTCAGTGATTCTTAACTCTCAACCATGCAACCATCTTCAATAATCAGTCGCAGCTTTAAAAAAATTACTCAATATTTTACTTACCAAGACAAAAATAACATTTAAATAATAACACATGTTGGTGAGGGTAATATCACGATTTGTTGCCTACCCAAGGGATGATGACCATTATATTGATGATGCACATTTGTGTATTCTAAAAATTGTCATGCTTTATCCAGTTAATATACATTTTTATAACTATGTTTAACGATTGATAGTATCGTGAAATCTGTATTAGAAGCTGCAGCTTCTATTAAAATGGTACAATGGAACAGAGGGGATGCGGTTTCTATTACAGTATCTACACATATGAGAAACTGTGAATTTTGGGCTCTCAAATGTTCAAAAAGAGTGGGTGTGGCTTCTATTAGGGATGTGGCTTCTAATACAGATTTAACAGTAGTTTGCATGCTAGGACATTGCCTCAAACAAACGAATCAATAAATCCAAAATATAGATGTTTACCCCACTCTGATCAAGTTATCTCACTGCACAATCCTATATAACAAATATGTTATGTGTTGTTTTAATAGCGTGATGCGGCTGTGACTTTAGTACGCAATGCTATAGCTGCTGGTATATTTAATGACCTTGGTTCTGGAAGTAATGTTGATGTATGTGTTATCACAAAGGACAAAGTAGATTATATCAGACCCTATGATGAAGCTAATAAGAAAGGAGTCAGGTTAGTAATAAAAAAGGAAATTGCAGACTTCCAAATCATAGTAGCATTTTTCCCAAGGTTTCTTTCAAACTTTCACATAATAATTAACACCTCTTTCATACAAATTAGCCATATTGCTGAGGAAAACACTGACTACTGTAAAATGACTAATTTTCACTGGGTTTGAATTTCACTGATTTACCATTTCAGGCATATTCAGTGTGTTTTAAATTCACGGTTTCGTCATTTAGATAATGTGTATTATGCTAAATTTTACATATTCACTGTGTTTTAATTCAGCGCATTTTTCCAGTCAGCGAAATAAGCTAAATTAAAACCCAGTGAATAATTACCCCCTTTACAGTATATAATGAATTTCATTGAAATATTTCTATTTTAGCTGGAATTTATTTTTGTATAATGTACATTTTCTGGATTTTACTCCCACTAAAGCATCCTATCAGCAAAAATAACAGAAGTAAAAATGTTGTTAGTAGTATTTTAGAATAAATTTGGATATCTGGACATTTTAATTCTATATTTTAATGTCCCCTATATTTTGTTATCAGTCTTAATGTTAGCAACTTGCGTCCCACCCATTTATGTAACCCAACCTTCCCAGAACCATATTCTCGGGGCGGACATCTGGGCATTTTCACCGCCTGGCAACCCGCGGCGGTGAAAACAAAGGCCCAAAACTCGCAGAAAACGGTACTTTGGGGTGATTGTTGAGACTCCTCTGAACAGTGCAACAAGATTAGCCCTACGTGTGTAACATATATAAATTTGATTGTTCGGGATTACTTCAAAGTTGAGTTTGTGTTGTTTTCTCGAATTTTCACCGGCTCGACCGGCGTTCCACAGCAACGCGCACAGAGCCCATAGAAATGCATGGTACAGTGGTGCGCGTCTTAGCAACGTGGAGCGTCTGTGACGTAGCTCCGCCCCCGAGGATACTGTAAAACATGTTGAAAAAGTGACATGCTATTTTAGTGAATTGTGGTAAAATGACGTAATAGCGAAATTTTGATTTAGTGAATCTCTCTTGTCATTGTTGATTTCTTTGTTTGGCGGCCATTTTGAATTGATAATAAAGTCATTGGCGACATCTTGAATTAGCGAATCAGTTCTCTTAATTTGCGAAAAAGACATGTTTTACAGTAATTACGTCTATAATACATGAGGGTCTAACACTTTTGAAGCTAACACCCTCTTGTGGCAAGTTTTTTTGATGGGGGAAGTATGTTGGAAAAAACCCCCTATGATTGGTTTGAACAGATTGTCTTCGAATGTTTGGCTGAGACAGGATTCACCGTATTTTTAGTATTCTCCAGAAAGCATCAAGTGTGTACAAGCCTAACTTGTACATGTACAGATGTATGTTGACACTTTATATCTGTTGTATCATTACAGGCAAGGTAATTACAAATACAAGAAAGGCACCACTGCTGTGTTGACTACACACATCAAAAAACTAGACATGGAGGTGACGAGTGAAAGAGTGGAAGCAATGGAAACATAATGAAAATGTTGCATAGTTTGTTGATATGATTATCTTTTTGAGTTTCATGTTGCTTTATGTATTTAATGAAGAGTTATAAAGTCATCCGATATAAAAGTTGAAGGCCTTAACACAATGTTTATAATAGCTTAGTTTAAAATCTATTGTGGTTGTTTTGGGAGGAACTTGTTTTCAGGAAATGCTGTTTGTATGAAGAACTGTCTCTTGCCCCAAGATGTTACAATGTATCTGATGTGACTTAATGAATGTACCAGGGTATCCAATTGTAATTTGGGGATTCTGTTAAACAAATTTGGAGTCCACCAGTAATTAAATCAAATTTCTGAAGACAAAAAACCTGATTTCCGATAGTAAAACAAATAATTGTGTTAACATTAGAATGGTTGACCATTTTGTGTATTGGGGGGGGGGCATACATTTCCTTAGATCATGTTCCATATCATCTTCAACTGCTGTTGTGATTTAAGCTCAAGGTTCATGGTTAAGGTCTACATAATAGATTTGTATTTGTATCTGTCAACTCTTTTCATTACTATGAATAAACTCAAGACATTTATTTGATATACTAGAAGTTTTTTTGTGTTTAATCTTGTTTACATCAATACATGTCGAATTACAGTAGAATGCTACTCAATAGTAAAAGTAATGTAGTTTTAAATATGTGACATTTTATGTCATAAGGATGAAGAAAATAACAAACAATTATGTGATTATAGCAAGTTTTGTCTGTTTTACTGCATTTTATCATTGTTTTCATATGGCGAGGATATATCTCAAAATGTTGTACTGTGACACACAGTAAAAACCATGTGTACCGGTAAGATAAATTACATGGACTTGTGGAAGTCAAAGTCAGACCAAAGGTTAAATGTTATCATTGGGAGGACTTGTATCCTGAATATGTTGGCTTTCTTTCTGCGCAAAATTTGTAATGTTGAAGGGGAGCCATGCATCTATCTCCAAATGGAATATGCTATAAAAATTTAAGAACATCACTACACAATCCGTGAATAAGTATATGCAAGAGTTGACCTTCCCAAAACTTCTTGAAATGAGGAACTTGCATGTATGAATATTCGTGATCATACTCTTATAATATAAATAATAGACCTCCAGATCCTTGGAGCTTAATGGGCAGCATGTCTGTCAAATCAAAGCACTTGAGTTCAACCTTGGCATTTGTAGTCACAACTTTCTACTTAGCACAGTAAAACTTGCTTGGTGTTTTATCATTGTTGTCATATGATCTGTATTCAAGTCGTAGAGTGCTTTACGAAACACAGGCTTATAAAATGTTCTGGTAAGTTTTATCTACAATTCCTAGAACAAAGATTTGACTTGAAACAAGATTTAGTGTACATAAATACAACAATCTACATATTAATACAGCCTTAGTAATTAACAATCTCCATATGAATACAACCATAGTGCATTACAGTCTACATACGAATAGAGTGGTTTAAATATTGACATCAAACATACAGAATTATTTGTTATCTTCAAAAAAATCTCATTCCCATTGCCTATGAATTTGCATCACATCTTTTATTTAGTGTATTATGAGAAAACACATTTTGGCTATTCAGTATGTTTTGACTATACTCAAATTGACATAATCGTATTACGTTTTTATATTTCCGCATTATAGATACCTTTTGTATTAATTTCAAAAAATGGAATATAAGTGAAGGACAAAAATAGTCCACAGTTTTCCTACGATCTCTGCACTCAGTGTTTCTAACTTTATTTTAATTTTCACGAAAAACGAATGTTTAAATATTTTGAGTAGTTTGTCGATAGAGGGCGGACACAGCTCGCAACGTATTGTGGGATAGCGGAAATAGACGTAGAGCTCATTGAAATATCTCAGCTGGACATATCGATGGTATATGTTTTGGGGGTAATTTGCACTGATACCAGCGTTGTTGAAGGTTGATAGCAGTGACCAACTATACGAAACAACATTACATATATTCCGCTCCCAGCAAATATTCAAGTCGGAGGATATATTATCGAGTTTGTTGGTAAGTTGAGATTTATTATAAACATCATGTTGGTTGTTTTTCCCAGGGCTTTCATCGCTCGTCGTCGCCATGGAAGAAATTTACAGATGTATATGTGGTTTATTTACAATGTAACAAAATATACAGATTACATCAACATGTTTTATCAAATGTCTCTGTGATTGTGTTGCTTATATTGGCCTGTCGCATGTCTCATTATCAGCAGGAAAAAAAAAAACGTTTATGATGAAGTGGCTGACAGTCAATCGATATATTATTATATTATTAATGAGCCAGGTACCTGTACGCGATCAGTGTCATACGCAACTGACTAGAAAATAACTACGGATTACAGTCGAATTGCTTTCGTACGAATAACTTAAACACAAATTGTATATTATCAGTTTTGGAATGCCTCGCAACACATACCGAAAGAACGAACATTTAAACATTTTTTGCCAAAATTGTAATGTTTGAACGCCGCTGTATTTTAGTACAACAGGTTGTTTATATCATTGACCGTGTAGTAGACCGTGTCGAAATCCACTCTGCTTAAAATACAGAATAAAGGAAATCTTGGGGAGGGGGGGGGGGGGTAAGACAAATCATATCCACGCACTTGATGCATAGTACATATATTTACTTTCTGAATCGATTCTTAGATTAGGAAAGTCCAACAAATTGCTTACATGGTGACAGTTTTGTGTGTGTGTGTGGGGGGGTGGGGGTGCAAGGAGGAATACCTGGTGCAGGTAACAGGAAATAAAAAAAGGCATTTTACGTTTTTACAGGAAATAAAATGAAAGTTCCATTTACAGTAAAAAATAGGTTTTTACACTTTACAGATAATGCGAATTCCCAATTACATTTTAATGATATATTTGATAATTTGTGTTTAAAAATCAAAATTGGAAATTGCGTAACATCCAAATTCCACATTTAATGTTGAAAATGCAATATACGCTTACAAAAAATAAGATCTTTGTACAAATTACAGATGAATAAAATAGCTGATTACATTTAACACCTTACCCCTGTCTATGATTTTATTGTTTTTATTTATTTAAATTACATTACTAGTATTACGAAAATAAAAACAATTGATTATAGCTTACAAAAATACCCCTTTCAATTACTCTCCCCCATAATTTTCATTGGTCCTACCCTATGTTCTCATGACCTTTCATAGAGCCAGCTGACATTGTTGGTTACACCCTTTCAGTCCCGCCCCATTTACGTGGGATGTATGGGCCAAACTAACACACCCTTTTACAATGTACAAAAAATGTAGCCTTAAAGTAGCATCTGACGACAAACTATTGAATTCTTTCATTCATTGAAAAGCCAATATTAGGTTTGCAGACAGAGTTTAAGAAAGGAAATCCCTCCCCAAAGAATGTCATGTTTTGTATTCTATTGTTTATTTCAAACTGCATTCCTTCTTTGGTCACCTCAGAAAAATTGATGTGTGGTTACCATCTGAGGATAAATATGGTTTAGCTAATTCATTTTGAATTATGGGAATATTTAAGGTTTAAAAAAAAATATTCCAAAAATAATCTTGCATGTACCTGTGAAAAACTAACTTTATTTCCTCCCCATGATTTTAAATTGTCCGTCCCTTACTGAAAAATTCATGTCTGTTTCAAATTTGATTTCTTGAAATTAAAATTTTCATTTACACTACAGAAATTCAAATTTATGGACAATAAGGCCAGACTTTTATTATCCCTTGTTTCGCGAACCCGCCAAATGAACAGGAGCCGAAAATGAAATAAAAATATAATTTTATTTCAGCTTAATTTCTCGTACCCGCCGACTTGTAAGCGCAAAAAAATGATGATAAAATATTATTTTTATCTTCATTTTTTTTTTGCCCGCCACATAACAATTTTAAGTTGCATTTTCGTGGGAGTGTCATGATCAAAGTACCGAAGTCTCGCGCAGATGAGAAACAAGGTTATACATGGAATAAAATTTAATTTGATTTCTTCTTTCCGATCAATGATTTCACTGACAATTCTTTGAGAATCACACAAATCTAATGAAAAAAAAAAAAAAATTTTTTTTTTTTCGCCCTCCCCCCAAAAAATTTATAAAAGCTCGCGAAACAAGGAATAAAAAAAAGTCTGGCCTTATGAGCTTAAAACGTGCGGAACATTGTGGAATTATTTTCATTTTTTATTTGGGAATGGTTTTTAATCTACAAGAAAAGAACAAGCAGAGTGATGACTCTGTTCAAAATTTCTTTTAGTCAACAGAGCGAAGCAGTTTATATTACTAATTGTCTGGTGGTGAAAACTTTACATTTTCGACTTCTTCTTGAAAAGAGCTAATTACTTACTTTGATACTTAGTGTATATGTACCTTGAGTGGACCTCTCTCAGATTTTGTGATGATATCTTCAATCTCTAATTTTGATAAATATTTTAGTCATTTTTGGTAAAAAGTGCTATTTTTGACTTCTTTTTGAAAAGCCTGATTGCTTTGATATTGTGTATATATGGTCATTTTGTGATAAGTTTAATTTTCGAGTTTTCGTAAATATTTGTTCAACTAGGTATACAGCTGATCTATATCAGCTGACAGTCTGCTTGTCTCTTTTATTTGGTTTCATTTTATTCAGGTTTCACTGTCTAATAGAGTATATGCTAAAATATGAAAATAATATAAGCTGCATGTACTATACTTAAGTTAACCATTTATTAGTCAGTAACATATACTGTAGAATACTTTATTTTTGCTTGGAATTTATTTTCGCTGAAGGGATGATTCTGTGAAAATAAAATCCAGCAAATATACTTTTTTTCCTATATTTCACATTAAACTCATCAAAAAACAGTGAAAATAAATTCCATACAAAACGCCCAAAAAGCCTTTTGGCGAAAATTTATTGCAACGAAAATAAAGTATTCCACAGTATTTTAACACTGAGATGTGAATAATTATTATTATACATGTATCACGTGTGTAAGTTTGTCACACTAGTGGCGTTCACGATAGAGATCTTGGCACATGCCGAAACTTGTGTGCGAATGGTCGGGACCGAGTCGGCACGTGCCAAAAAAAAACTTGATCTCGGTCACAATAGATGCTTGTGGTCGAAACTCGTTACGTAAATTTAAGAGAACGTATGCTGATTCATACTAGTATGAAATGGCGATGACAGGAAATGCAGGTATACTCGTATATGTTTGTGTGCTGTAGTAATGAATGAAATGAATGCAAACCGTCGTCAGCGCCGCATATTTTTGTGCTGCTGCAATGTTACATTGACGTGAACAAATAATTGTTTTTTGAATCTTCTTTGCCGTTCGTGTGCATGATGACTCGTAATAAGTACCATAACAACAAATGGATATAATTTCAATATAGCAATTATTATTATCATCGTATGCGTATCGTTTTTTTATGTTTGGACCAAATAACATATTGATGAATGAGAGCAGAATTTCTACACGAGCCGAGTCGGTCCTACATGTAAGTGGGTTCCGAATAACGTGAACACAACTGCTGTAATCCCTCTGCAAATGTCGGCACGTGCCAAGATCCCCTAACGTGAACATAGTATATGATTGGTCATGTGGTGGTGAATAAAATCCATTATTGACTCAGATTCAAGTGACCTTGATTTCATTTTTACACATGCATAGTAGAAATTTGCAACAAACGTTGAATTTATGTTGTGTTAATTTATTTGATAAAAAATAACATACAGTTACGTCAGTGTCAGTCAATATACAGTTTTCATGACCCATACCCTGATGACCCGTACTGTAATTTTCTCTTCGGGTAATTAATACTGAATATTGATTTCCTCTTCAGTTTGTTTTTAGCTCCGCTGTCGACTTTGTCGAGCGGAGCTTATCATATGAGTGATTGTCCGTCGTCGTCCGTTGT